CTTTAGTAAAATTAATAAAATATATTACATATCTTATTATAACACATATTAGTAAATTAAAGAAACTCATATACAATTCTTTGAAATACTATGTTGTCTCACTATTATCATGATTTTCAGGTTAAATTCTAAGAGAAAATTCTCTCCGTGTAGCAGCTGATGTCAGAACTGTATTCTATCGATCGTTCTGACATCTTTTCAAAGATCTCAATCTATATCTCTATATAGCTTCTCTCTATATACACAGAAGAAGAAGTTTATTACATTTTACCATTTTTGAGAGATTTCAAATTAATTAGATATAGTTAATTAGATATAGTATACAATCAGGAATGTCAATTCAAACCGAATTTGCTTTACATTTTTCAACATTTTGATTATATAACAATATTGCGATTTAATACGCATCAACGGAATGACGAGACCTCCAACGATCACGCAACATCCTTGCGTTCATTTTTTTATTTTGTGAGTAGTTATTAATAAAAGCGTCCTCGCGCGTCGCCCTACAAAGTGTTATTGCGCCGTTTCTTTCCGTGCGACGAGTGTCCCACGATCTGTGATTAACCGCTTGATCTCTCAGCTAAGATAGTAGTTTGTGCCACTGAGATGGCTGTCTCGCAATTTCAGACTTTCTCGCTAATTAAATCATTTGATGATTATTACGCTTCGTCGTTTTACCGCGCCGCGCCGAGAGAGAAAAGTCACGTCGATCGTGAAGCAACTTTTCTTGATGCAAACTGTTCTTGAGTGAAATTTTATTTCAATTCGTTTAGAGAATGAGAGAGAGGGAGAGAGAGAGGGGGGAAGCATTTTCTAAATCTATCCTTGTTCAACATAATATAACTACATTTTCCATCTTCGTATTCTTCGTAGAATCGAGAGACGCACCTTAGCTATTTAGTATCGCACATCGATCGTGATCCCATGTTGCATGACGAAAGTCATTATCTTAATACCTTCGGAATCACCGCGAGTCAAAGATGTAGTCGGGAATCGATGCGATTTGGTAAAACATCCCTGGCAACCAATGAGAAAAAATAGATTTATTATTTCCGCAGAATTATAGAACTTGTTTAGTAAAACTCGAATTTTCCGTCGTTAACTGACTCTTCTACTGTATAATTTTACGCGTTTCGAATTTTCGAAAATTGAATTATATACAGTGGATGCAAAAAGTATTCGCGCCCGCGCGTACAGAGAAAATATTATTTTTTAATTTTATTTTTAAAAAGTAAATATTATCCAGCGACAAATGAGTCATCGAACTGATGTCGAATCGATATCGATACGATGATTTCAACATCACATTGATTCGATGTTTAATTGACAATCATTTCTTGTTGGGTAATTAACAATTTATTCATAAAGAATAAAATAGACTGTATGTTTCTTAAAATTATGTATACCAAAAAAGATGTGTATTAATTATAGAAAATATATCATCTGAAAAATAAGCGAAAATTAAAAATTGTATTATTTGGATGGTCAAAAAGTATTCGTACAGTCGAGAAATTTAGCTTCTAAAATCAAGAATACATGCGAAACTTGTTTGTTTACGTTAGAACAGAATGCATTCATTGTTGAATGCAAAATTACTAATTAATGTTTATTTTGTACAAATAAGACTTTTTTTATAAAAAATTTCCTTGTACAAATACTTTTTGCTCTCACTGTAGCTAATTATAGGTATGTACATACATATCGTGATTTGGTTCGATGCAAAGTTTATAGGCTGACGTGGTTCATGCACAGGAATGAAAGAAAGGAAAGGTGTCTGAAACGGTATCAACTCGATCAAATGATTCGGTTCGGAAAAAAGGACATTGAAGACGTGACAATGTACCGTGACAATCGTTCGTCGATTATCAATTTCCGCATGTCGTCGCGTAATGTCGCATTATGTCCTCACTCGAGTATCACGTTCGTTGTACTACACGTACACGTAATTATACGCATACCGTACTCGATGCACACCGTAAATAGCTTCCGCTATTTACTATTGTAAAGTGCTCGTACCAATTTTTCTTCCTTTTCTTCGAGCCTGTGCCATGCTTGGCCAATACGGTGCATCATATCGCGTTCCGTTATCGCGATTGCATCTATGATAATCTATAACTGTAGATATCGGTCAATAATAAAGCCCAGCAGATTCGAATGGTAGATGAATGATCGTTCAAATGAATTCCCCGTCTTTGCTGTGGATCGTTCAGTTGTACATAGATTATACGTTTGACGTGACACTTGCGCGGCGACTGTCTATGATTGTTACTCTTAATACAAGAGCCAAAGAAGCAGAGAAAGCGAAAGGCGAGAGGCAATTTAAGAGGAGATGAGGAAGCGAAGCTTGGCCTCTAACTCCGTTTAGATCGTTGAAAGAGTTTCACACATACATTATGACCTTCTTTTTGCGCGGGTATCAAGTCGGTCGGTACTGCACACAGTATCCGACAGACTTTTCCCACGTTAAGTTGACATCCGAGATGGTAATTCCGATTGATTTCTCGACTTCCTCTCCCGTAAACAGCTCGCTCCGATCATTGGCAATCATCGATCAACCGAGTTCGAACTCAGCCGCTGTACATACCTAGCTAGGTCTGTTCGCGATAACGAGCAAATGCTTTAGTTAGGAAAAATGAAAAAACGACAGTCATTATCATTTCCATTTAAATTTAAAGTGTAAAATATATCGAAAACTATTCGATAAGAATAATCGATTGAAAATTGCCGAACGGCAATTATGATATGACATGTCCGCATCAAAGTCCGCTTGTCATGAGTCAACAAGCTTCCAAAATGTCAACTTGCCTCGGCGAGTCCGAAGAGTTAAAAAAGCCTAGCAAAATCTCGGGATCCCGTCGCGTTCAACATTCGGATTTATCGCGTTTAGAGCTCCTGATACGTCCGACGACTCACGAAATTTTCGGGAATGTGAAATTGGAACAACTCTAGTACTTGCAGCCATACATGCAGTTACTTTATACGCGCACTCGCATTTGGAGAACTTGCTCTCATTATTTATACGTATATATATTAATATAATATATAATATTATATATAATGTCAGCAATATTATATTAAATTGTAAATCGGTGCGCTTTCTCCCGTGCGCGTGCATCTTGATGTACCGTTACATAAAATTTGCAGCGAGACTTCCTGCCTCTCAGTGATCCAACACAACGAGAGACGTGACGTCATTTCGGGGATATGCCTCTGCAATTACCCCAATATACCGTCCGTGTCACTGGACGATTGGTTGACCTGGTTAAAAACAATTTACGGGTAATTTTCTGTTTGCGTCGATCGTAGTAGAGTTAATATGACTTTACGATACGAGTCGGTATCTTATATATTATATATTAGGCGGGTTTATGAGATTAACACTTTTCAAAAAGGATTCCCGCTGCTACGGAACAGAACACAATGTTCATACACTTGCTCGTATGGGATGAGCTCTACTCGAACGAGTTTCTTGGAGAGCTATTGGCTGCGGTGTTTGACAACATTACCTATTGCCAATACGTGGTTCTCGTAATTCCATCCCAAGTTAAACCAGGTGATCGCTTTTTTATCAAGTCACCCATTGATTCTGCTTTAAATTTTTTACATCGGAAGAAAGATGTTATTAGATCTGTTCTTTTTAGCTAAAGTTCTTGCACGGTTCATCTTTCTTCCTTTTCTCTTCACATTGAAGAGAAAAAGAGAAAAAATGAACCCTGCAAGAAGTTTAGCTAAAAAAAATAGGCCTCATATTTTGACTTGCGTTATCTAGTGCATTTGAGCGTGTTCGAGCGAGAGATGACTAAAGTCTTGGCCAAAACTGATGTGCGAGACATCGCGCTGCAATTTCTCTATCTGACTAATCGACATCGATTACGTCCAAAGTTGAAAATACGGAGAGTTGTGTGAGTCGATTTTATATTTGCGATTGATACTTTCTAAAATTTCTTTCTAAACCATCTATACAACTCGGTATCGTATATATATATATATATATACTTGATGATATATATACAGAGAGGAGGATAACGACGATGTAATTGCGATTATCGACGGCGAGGGTACGCATCTAAAGGAGCTTTATGGAGAGTATTGTATTAGTGAGATGATTCGTCATCCGAGCAGTTGTCGTCAATTGATCATCGGAGAGGATACCAACGGCTCGGCAGTGGGTGTCATGTGTCTCAATACTACGATTGACATCGATCTGCTTAACGAGAATTTTGAATTAATGCCATACAATGGTTTGAAAAAATCACGGGAAAATGATCGTACTGTTGGACGTAACAAGACGATGCAATCTCAATTCGTTCACCATGTTTTCCCGACGCCGGATGGCGAAATAAATGCCTTCGTTTTGGAGATGTTTGCGACGCGCGATGAAATGAGGCCTCACTGGTCCCACGATTTCTTGGAGGCTGCTTTCAATTGCTTCCCGCATTTAGAGTACTGCGCGATTCTTCTTCCTTTCTCACATCCGTGCCATCAATTCCTTCAACATTTTGTGGTTAAGTATTGTAAATTAACTAATGAGATATTTCGATTACTTGAGTGTACAGAGTGTCCCGATTTTAAATGGCCAAACTTCGGGAGCGTTTAGGGAATTGACAAACTAAGAAAAGAAGTCCTTTAGAGATATGCTCGTTTTTGCTTCGCTTTGAAGGAAGTCGCAAAAATTAATAAAATGTAATTTTCGAAATATTATTGTTTACAAAGTGTAATATTATAATTTTCGTGTACAATTTGAGCGACAATACGCTTTAGAGGCAATGTGAGATACGCGCGCCGATTTCCAGAAGAGTGCCGGAGTTATTACGGAAGCTTTCCAGCAAGAGACACAAATTGACACAAGAGTCATCCTGTCCTTGTTCGATAATCAGTAAGAAACAAAGACAGAATGACTTTCGTGTTGATTTGTGCCTCTGCTGGAAAGCTCTCTACATTGTGTGTATGATTTCAGCTATTGGTTTACCTCTTATTGCATTGTTATCTTATTCTGGTTTTGTTACTGGTAGACTTTGTAACAGCAATTTTGCTGACGCCTAACCATTTGCAAGCTACTATTGTCTATTGTATTTATATTTATGTTAACTAGACTATAGTCTATTGTATCATATTTTATGTCTATTATTCTATTAATATGTAGTCTTTTTTTCATATGGCTTTGCAATAAACTAAATTAAAATTAAATTAAATTGATCAGATCAGTTCGGCTACACACGAACAAGATGTAATGTGTGCATTGCTGCAAAAGGCCAACATTTTGAACAATCTGCATTAAGCAAGTGACAAAACAAAGTGAATAAATAAGTAATAAATAAGTATAAAAATGAAAACTACGTTTTGCCGTTTTTGCGATTTTATCCAAAACGAAGCAAAAACGATATTTCTAAAGAATTTTTTTTCTTAGTTTATCGATCTCTTCTACGCATATACGTTCCCGAAGTTTAGTTATTTAAATTCGGGACGCTTAGTATAAGAAAAAAAGGAACTTTAGGAGCACTTCTCTTTTCAATCTCGCAATTAATAACAAGAAAAATAAAAAATGAAAATGCAGCGCGTACCGTTGAGATGTAATAGAGATTTCCCTATGACGGTGTACGTTCTACACCGAGCAGTTGTTTGCGAGGAGTTGACGTGTCGCCGTGCCCGAACACAAGACCGTGAAGCTATAGAGAGACTCTTGTTCACTACATCAACAAAACGCGAGGTCTTGGCTGATTTTGATTTTGCCGTGAATCCTCTACAAGCTGTACAGCGTGATTGTTTCGTCTTTGAAAGTAACGATACAATGCTGGGGCTCGCTATACTGTGGTTATTACGTATATTCCCTTGTAAATTCTTATATCATGAATGATATTCAAATATCCAAGTTTTCTTTATTTTATGTTGTAGCACCGAGAGGCAGGTAAATTTCGTTACGAATCATTACCATATAGAGGATTACGTGTCTGTGCAGAGTATTCCTCAAAATGATTACGGACGTCTCTTGCATTTTGTTCTTATGCCAATTTTTTCCGCTTACCATCGCTTCTTCTTCTGCGAGATCGCACGTTTAAGCGAGTTAACGGTAATCTTTTATCGGCTTCATCACAAAGATGAGACTGTATTGGTAAGCTGTAACAATAGTATACACAATAACAATAATTGTATTTCTAGTAAGAGCACCGAATTTTCATCTCATCCCACAAAATTATGCTTCTCACATATATGGTCCTATAAGATCCAAGGTGCGTCCGGGGAGACGTTATTAGCCCTTTTTATATCATTCTATCCTTATTTTACATATGATAAACAATGGAGATAGAATGACACAAATAGCTATAATAGCGTTTCCCCGAACGCACCTATAATATATATTATACATATATTATATATTATGTCCGAGTTCTCGTCCGGATGATAATTATTGTAGTCGCGCTCCTGCGCGCCTATACCAACAGGATTTTAGATAAAGAAAGAAGAAATCCTTCTCTGCGCGTGCGCGGCGCCTGGCGCGTGTGGCGCCCGGCGTGTGCCTCGCTCGCGCCATCAGCCTCATTGTGTTTCCTGTTGCGCTTTCCAACAGTACGCAGTAGTCAACAGTGTTTATTTAAGTTTTTTCCTTAATATTATACCTCGCGATGCCTAGAGACAGGCACAGAAACCGCTCTAGGTCTCCTAGAAGATCCTCGAAAGCTCGCAGAACCCGGTCTCGCTCCCGGGGCCGTGCTCGCTCTTCGAGAGCACGGTCGCGTTGTGATTCTCGAATCCGCTCAAGGCGGTCGTCACGAAGCTCGTCGTAGGAGAATTCCATGATGGCCGCTGTCCGAGAATCGGCGATGCTGGAAAGATTGGTGCAACTTGTGGAAGATCAGGCGAAACGTATAGACAAGATCGAGGTTAGGTTACCCGACGACAGTCGTCACCCGGACGTTCCATCGCCGCAACCACTTCGAGCATCTCATCAGCGGTCGGGGGAACAGACGGTTTCCTTAAACCGGGGCTCTGTACCAGGTAAGCCCTCTCCGCGACCCCTTGCGTGCTCGGCACCATCGGCATAGAGGGGGCTAATCCGACGTGTTCCCCCAAAGCACCCCTTTTTTCTATGACGGTTCCGTCTGTTTAGATTCGCCTCCTGAGAACACAGGGTGTGTTACCAAATTTACTTACCACGTATACGGTTAAAGAACGTCTAGCTTCACTGGGTCCACTGAAATTGAATAAACTTATTCTAGCAACACAAGGTCCAAATTCATCTGTTTTAAAAAGGGACGAGCATCAAGCGGCTTCTCAGTCGCAAGTCGCAGCCTGTCTAAATGCTCTAGGCACCGGCCTCTCCACTCATGACCTTGGATCCAACGCTGCTAGGCTCGGCGGAGACGGCCATTGGCCAGATAGCGCACGCCGTTACTAGCAGATCTTCAATATCGGCTATCTTTACACAGACGTGCCTTCATTAAACCAATCTTAAACTTATTAGGTAAAACTACGGCAGACTCTGCCCCAATAGACGAATGGCTCTTCGGAACCTCGTTCGCAGAGGATATAAAGGACGCTCAAGCCTGCGAAAAGGCGGGCTCTTGAAGACCACACCAGCCATAAGTAAAGCAGTCAAGCATCAACCCTTGAGACAACTGCAGATTAAACAGGCCACGTCTGCGGGAAACGAGAAGGCCCCTGCTCAGAAGTCGTCACAGAAGCCTCGAGTGGGGGCCAGGTCCTCGAGAAAACCACCCCGGAGATCAGCGTCCCGCTCCCGTTATCACCGCAGATAACTACGGTAAGAACGGCCGGTCGCTTAGCATCTTTCGTCCATCGCTGGGAGAGTCTGACCTCGGACCCGGTCGTGCTGGAGACAGTGCGAGGTTATATGATACCATTTACTGTCGCCCCCCCAGCACGACCGTCGTGTAATCAACCCACATTTTCGCGATTAATATCTCTCGCCTGTGACGAGGAAATCAATCGTCTTCTTAGGAAGGGGGCTATCTATATGGTAGATCCGTCAGTGGACCAATTTTTATCGACCTTTTTCCTCATTGAAAAGGCATCCGGAGGAATGCGTTTCATTCTAAATCTGAAAGATTTAAATCAGTTTTTAGATCCCCCCCATTTTAAGCTGGAGGACTGGCGCACCGTAGTCCGTCTCATGCTCCCCGGAGTGTACATGGCTTCAATTGACCTTGAAGAAGCTTACCTGTTAGTAAGTATTCATCCTAGTCACAGGAAATTTCTTCGCTTCCAGTGGCGGGGATCTACTTTTGAATTTGCAGCACTCCCCTTCGGCCTAGCTACGGCTCCATTTATATTTACCAAGATCCTTCGGCCAGTTCTAAGGTCGCTACGAGAGAAAGGATTCGAGAGCGTAGTCTACCTCGACGATTTCCTGCTATTTTCGCCTTCTAAACAGGCATGTTACAAGAACATCCAAATGCACGTGGATACACTAACGGAACTGGGATTTGTAGTTAATTTTGAAAAATCAACTAATTCCAGATGTTCGTAGGAAATACCTCTCATGTTCGACTCGGTGCGACAATCGGTGTCCATTTCAGAATCCCGGCGTAAAAGTCTTCTTGCGAAGCTTATCAATATGGAGAAAAAACCCTCTTGTACAATTAGAAATTTTGCCAGCTTGATCGGCTCACTAATATCTGTGTGCCCGGCGGTGCAGTATGGCCTCTTGTATACGAAAACCCTTGAGAGGGAGAAATTCCACGCCCTGTTACGCTCGAATTCCGACTTCTCGGCCAAGATGTGCCTGCCATCGTCCCTCCGAAGCGATTTTCTCTGGTGGCATAGAATCTTATCCGATCCGGAACAATTGAATACAATCCGCTCAGGCCAATTCACACTCGAATTATTTTCAGATGCCTCTCTAAACGGTTGGGGAGCGGCCAGTGGTATGCAGCGTTCACATGGTTGGTGGACGACAGAGGAGAGAGCCCTTCACATTAACGCCCTGGAACTGAAGGCGGCCTTTATCGGTTTGAAGTGCTTTGCCGCGGATCTGAGAGACGCAAACGTCTTACTTCGCATTGATAATACGACGGCGATCTCATACATCAATCGCTATGGGTCGGTCAAATTTCCTCATCTCACAGCTTTGGCCAAGGAGATCTGGCAGTGGTGCGAAAGCAGGAATTTATTTTTGTTCGCGTCTTACATTTCCTCGGCGGACAACTTCATAGCCGACGAAGAATCTCGACGCACGGATGTTGATACAGAATGGTCTCTGTCTGCCTCCGCTTTCGACGTCATCCGCCAAAGATTTGGCCAATTTGAGATCGACCTATTCGCTTCTATCCTGAACGCGAAGTGTGAACGTTATTTATCTTGGTTCCCGGACCCTGGCGCTTGGGCGGTCGATGCCTTTACCATCACCTGGAATTCGGTCTTTTTCTACGCTTTCCTGCCTTTTATTCTGATCACTCGAGTCTTGCGGAAAATCATAGATGAATCTGCAGAGGGAGATTTTTTGTAGTGGTTTCCTGGTGGCCTTCCCAGCCTTGGTTCCCACTCTTCCAACGCCTCCTTGTCTCAGAACCGACAATCTTCGCCCCAGCTTACGATTTGCTTTCTGCTCCCCTTAGGGATCATCACCCGGCCCATCGGACACTTTCCTTGGCAGCCGGACTCTTATCAGGAGATCTTTCGAAGCTCGGGGGGTCCCGGACTCCGCCCTAGATACCTGCTTGGCTTCTCTAGCCCCGTCAACAATCCAACAATATACCAGGCCCCTACGCGACTGGTGGAATTTCTGCCAGAATCGCCAGCTCTCGCCTTTTACTCCCACAGCGGGAGTAGCCTTGGAATTCCTCGCCTTGGCTTTGGAGTCGGCCGGTTCCTATTCATCAATCAACACAACCAGATCAGCCATCTCATTGATCTCGCCAAATTCAGTCGGCGAAGACCCTCTTATTAAACGTTTCTGCAAAGGAGTCTCAGCGTCCAAGATACGATTACGTCTGGGATCCCGCTCCCGTAATCAAGAAATTAGCCTCGGAATTTCCTCATCAGAATCTCCCCTTGGATAGGCTTACCAGAAAGCTCGTAATGCTTCTCGCATTAAGCACAGGACAGCGCTGCCAAACTCTCGCAGCAATAAAGATTTCACAAATTTTTGAAGAAAATCGGGCACTCATTCGGATTCTTGACAAATTAAAAACTTCCGCGCCGGGAAGCCCTCAGCCACTTCTGTCCATACCTAAATTTGGAAATCACGAGGAACTTTGCGTCGTAGGCTTACTGTCTATATACACCGAGAAGACCAAGGACATCCGCCCACCTACATGTGATTCCCTGCTGATCGCACTGAAACAACCGCACGAAGCAGTGGGCGCTCCAACAGTCAGCCGTTGGCTTAGAACTACACTGTCCGAATGCGGAGTAAGCGACGCCTTTTCGGCTCATAGTACACGACATGCAGCGACCTCTAAAGCTGCAAACAAGGGAGTTCCATTGGAGCTGATCAAGAAGGCAGCAGGCTGGTCAGGGGAATCGCGAGTATTCGCTAATTTTTATAATCGCCCTCTCATCAACTCAGAGGCATTTGCCTCATCTGTTCTCCTTACAGATTTAGAGTCACATTAATTAAGTCTGTATCTTCTAGTGATAAATATAATTTTTTGTGATCTTGGGTTTTTAGCCATTGCGTATTCTTCCTGCCCGAGTCTTCGGAAGACCCGGATTGCAAATCGTCCTCTGAACATCCTACAATAATTATCATCCGGACGAGAACTCGGACATAGTTTATAGATTAAACGAACTTACCTAAGTGAAGTTCGATCTTAATTATGTCCTGGGTTCTCGTGCGGATGAGCTTCCCCCCCTAGTTTGGTTTCCCACCCAAGAGGTGCTAGGCGATTTGCGAGACTTTAAAATATGAGGCTGATGGCGCGAGCGAGGCACACGCCGGGCGCCACACGCGCCAGGCGCCGCGCACGCGCAGAGAAGGATTTCTTCTTTCTTTATCTAAAATCCTGTTGGTATAGGCGCGCAGGAGCGCGACTACAATAATTATCATCCGGACGAGAAC